TGGTTTGCTAATATGATAAACCAATTTATAAACCCATAAACATATAATAAATACAACTAAAATGGGTTTATTGATAAACATTAAAGGCGATTGAGATGATTCTTAGATTTAAAAGACATAGAGATATAATGCAACGCTTGTACGGGCCAGAATAACACGCAGGTTGTTGAGGTATACGGCAAATTAAAAATAAAACACATGGCCGAAGTGAAAAATATTTTTTTAAGTTGAGACGACTTATGGAATTTCAACTAGGAATATGACGAGTTATACACCTTACATAAGACGTTGCTGTAGTTAACCTACTGATATTTATAAATGGGTGGCAAAGGCAAATAAAGATGATAAATGCCTTTAAACAGCACATGTTTTCTTGGGAGAATGTTGTAGTATAAAAGTATTAAATATTTCTATTAAGTCCTAGCGGTGGCTCGTATGAAATATATACAACCAGTCTAACAGAAAAAATCTATGTAAGTTAAAAAGTAGTTTAATCATAGTAAATGAACCAGTGGAGAGAAAAAGAGTAGAACTCGCCTGGATTATTTTTGCTTCCAAGTATTAAAATTGTGAATTGTACGGAAGTTCGAATCTGCATTATATACGAGGTAGTGTTGATTAAATTCTCGGATTAATACAGCATTGTAGACTGAATTTGAATAATTTCAAAATTAATCAAACCCAAATATGTAGCATTGCCTGACGAACAGTCTAAACGAGATCTAAGATTGCAGGAAATCTATGCTTCAAACTCATCTTAATATTCTAGCATTTCCGTTTAGTTTGGCCATGGAACTCAACGATTTGAAATTAGGCAGGCAGTGGTCATAAGAAAAAATATGGTTCATAGTCTATGACAGAATCAAGAGTTAAATGAAGAAACAAAATGAAGAAATAGATACAGATAACTGTTTAGTACTTTCAAAAGTTTCTAGCCAAGGTACATCTACGTTATTTACACGTCATATTTGCTAGAGCTTGATGTTGAAAAAAGTTTATTTTACTGCAGCATATAATTGCTATTAAAGCTTACTGTTGAACCATCAAAGCTAAATATTAATATAAATGCTTCAAATGGTTCAAATGGTTGTGGACGGAATAGAAAATGCTTTCGCTTAACCGGCTTCCGTGTCTAGTACCAGGGGATCTCCGGTACTCCCAGGAAGAAACCTAGATATATTAGCGAAAAAAGAGGAGAAAGAAATTGGTAAATCATAGTAAGATACTATCCTTAGTCCTTAAGAATAGATCAAGTTGCCTCTTAAAGGACTCCTGGGAAGTCGCTTGAACTAGCTCAGCCGGCAGCGAACTCCAGAATTTGACAAATCTTAAGGAGTAGAAGTTGTGCCTACAGTCCGTTCTGACATATCGCATCTCCAGTTCCTGGGTGTTACCCCTTAGGTTAGCATTGGGACTAAACTTAAGTAGGTGTTTAAGAGGATGTCCAGAAATGTTAAGTATACTGTAAGCCATCAGAAGGTCACCTTTAAGACGCCTGCACTCTAATGGGTAAAGGTTAAGTGATTGGAGGCGCTCTCCATAGGGTTTGAATTTGAGTCCACGAACTGCTTTCGTAGCTTGTCACCGAATACATTCCAGAGTGTCATTTTCCTCTTGGAGTTAGGGAGGAAATATCATGTTTCCGTACTCTAAGTGGGGACGAATGAAACTGTTGAAGATTATGTGGAAAAGTTTTCTGTCAAACTGGCCGAAAATGCGCTTCAATGTTACCAGTGCAAGGTTTGCTTGAAAGGCATTTTTGTCACATTTAACAGATACCAAATAATCAAAATTAACTCTACAACATCTACACCTCGACCAATAACCAGCGGTGCTGTGCAGAGTAGTGTCTTGTGTCCATCAATAATATATGGAAGTGCTATAGCACACGTAAGACCTACCCTACGCTGATGACTTGAAATTCATCTATAAAACTGACATTCGCGACGTAAGTAGTACTGTGCAACCAATCCAACATGTGCTGAGAATTCTATATTGTACTAAAATATAATACTGAATAAAGTCATAAATAAAAAAAACATGGTGGACATCTAGTTCAAACGCTGGAGGTTAGAACTCAACACAGAGAAACGCGGCTGGTTATGTATAGGAGACGCGTCTCCTAAAATAAAACTAGCATCTAACAAGAAAACACAACCCAGACTGACATCAGTAACTGACTTAGGGGTATATTACTCACACAGTCTTAATTCCTCTGAACCCATCTCAGCCTAAGCACCTAAAATGCGGAAATTGCTTGGCTTTATTCCTCGTAATTTCCTTCAAAATGAATCTAAAATCACTGTTTATGAAATCTGTGTAAGACCTATCGTTGAATATTGTTCGTTCTTACTTTAGAACTTACTCTTATCCAATATACTTAAAACGGAAGGAATACAACAAGACTTCACTCGTGAAATACTTAAGAACTAATTGAATACAGTTCTCGATGCCATATCTTAGGACTAAAACCCCTTTGGAAAAGAAGGCTTAGGTCTAGTTTCATTTTTTTTTCAAACTCCTCAAAAACCCTACTTATTTCACATGTAATATAGCTCTTGCTCAAGACACATATGATACGACCTTCTAGACAAAATATCTACTGTCAAAGTTGAGAAATACAGATCAAAAACTAGGGAAAACTTCTTCCTCATTAAATATGCATTAACACGGAACAGTCTTCCCTCTGAAATACGCATGGAAGATTAATTACATACGTTTGAAAGACTTATTGATCATGCCCTCACTTGCATAGATCTAGCACAGACGAACACATCTGTGTCCCACTCAGACTTTATAAGATCTCTACATGTATAGTCCAAATATATAGAAAGCCCACTGCCGACATCGAGTATGACAGTCGTATGCTGGAAGGACTATCCCGCTCTACGCGTCTCGGTTTCACTCATATCCTGATTCTAGGGAACTTCAATCTTCCTGGAGTCAACTTCGCGGAACATACGTAAGTTGGAGGTGAAAATTCAGTTGAAGCTCGGTTCTTCAACCTCGTTGAGGGTTTAGGATTATACAAAAATATGAAGTCGGCAACTCGTTGGAGGAACAGTCAGACACCGTCGCACTTATACTGTGCTTTTACAAACGAAAAATCTCTAATTGACAACATCTGAATTCTGGCTCTTCTGGGGAAAAGCGATCACGCCGTTATAGCCTTCAGTTTTGTCAGCAAAATTGAGCTAAGATATCCCAACAACAACAGGCGCAGGAATTTCAAACGGTTGAATGAGTCAGCTCTACAGGATTATCTACAACAGGTGGATCGGAATGTTCACCCTCAACTTGATGTGGATGCTCATTAGGACTTCTTACTGCACACGCTCTTATGTGCTACACAGCAGTCAGTTCCTCAAACGGTCCCCAAAAGCCACAAGCAACCTACAATCATCAAGAATCGCACTCCTCATTTGTTAAGCCGCAAAAGGCACTGTTGGGCAGAATACAAACGAACTGACAACAATAGCACGTACAGGCAATACAAACATACAAGGAAAATATGCACGAAGGCTATAAGAGAAGACAGGCCTCAGTACCAGATAAAGCTTATAAATAAATTTATTTCCACTCCGAAAAGCTTATTCCGTTACGCAGCCTCTCTTCGTCAAGCCAAAACTGGAGTTTCTCAACTGCTAGGTCCTAACGGCCCGACCGATAATGACGGAGACGCCGCTAACCTTTCGGCTAAGCAATATTCCCGGACATTTCAATCGACCCACATCAACTATACTGATGACAGCTTCATCTGCAACTGCATAGGACTTTCCGAAGTGAACCTGAGCGCTGACTTGGTGTTCCGAAAATTGCAGCATCCAAGAACAGACACTTCTCCTGGCCGAGATATGGTTCATTCTGCTATACTGAGGGAAGCAGCTTCAACCCTGGCAACACCGCTTAGTGTGATGTTCTCACACTCGCTAAGTCGAGGCAAACTACCGGATACTTAGAAGCTGGCTCATATCACACCAATTTTCAAAGGAGGTCAACGCAGCGAAACCTTAAGTTACCGACCGGTGGCTCTTCTCTCTGTACCTTCAAAGATCATGGAGTCCCTGGTATACGATGGTATACACGACTATCTGCTGTCCTTAAATTTCTTCTCACCCCAACAGCATGGTTTCAGGAAGGGCTACTGCTGTATGACGAACCCGCTGACTGCAGTGGACAGATGGACAAGCATCGTTGATCGCAAGGGGAAGGCGGACATCATTTACCTTGATTTCTCTAAAGCTTTTGAAGGGGTTAATCACATATGTCTTATCAATAAGCTCAGATAATTGGGTATCGAACCACCTTTAATTGACTGACTCAGTTTACATCTGACAAATCGACATTTTAAGGTCGTGGTAAACTTCAGTTTATCACAGGCTATGGAATGTCTTAGTAGGGTCCCCCAGGGCTCAGTACTAGGACCTCTTCTCCTCCTGATTTATACAAATGATCTTCCTCAACAGGTAACGTCAGACATATTGCTCTTTTCCGATGACTTGAAACTTTGGAAAGAGATACGCAACCAAGAGGACATACAAGCATTTCAGGAGGATCTGACTCGACTTCAAAGTTGGGCAGACGACAACGGACTTACCTTTAACACTAAAAAGTGTAAAGTAGCCCATTCGCGACATGTCGCAGATTACAGTTACAATTTAAGAAAATTCTTTCTAGTGGTGTCACAAGTCGAAAAAAGATCTAAGAGTCCTGGTGCCCTACGACTTAAAGTCTTAGGCTAACAGACAAAAATGCCTTTCGAGCAAACCTTGCACTGGTAACATTGAAGCGCATTTTCGGCCAGTTTGACAGAAAACTTTTCCACATAATCTTCAACAGTTTCATTCGTCCCCACTTAGAGTACGGAAACATGATATTTCCTCCCTAACTCCAAGAGGAAAATGACACTCTGGAATGTATTCGGTGACAAGCTACGAAAGCAGTTCGTGGACTCAAATTCAAACCCTATGGAGAGCGCCTCCAATCACTTAACCTTTACCCATTAGAGTGCAGGCGTCTTAAAGGTGACCTTCTGATGGCTTACAGTATACTTAACATTTCTGGACATCCTCTTAAACACCTACTTAAGTTTAGTCCCAATGCTAACCTAAGGGGTAACACCCAGGAACTGGAGATGCGATATGTCAGAACGGACTGTAGGCACAACTTCTACTCCTTAAGATTTGTCAAATTCTGGAGTTCGCTGCCGGCTGAGCTAGTTCAAGCGACTTCCCAGGAGTCCTTTAAGAGGCAACTTGATCTATTCTTAAGGACTAAGGATAGTATCTTACTATGATTTACCAATTTCTTTCTCCTCTTTTTTCGCTAATATATCTAGGTTTCTTCCTGGGAGTACCGGAGATCCCCTGGTACTAGACACGGAAGCCGGTTAAGCGAAAGCATTTTCTATTCCGTCCACAACCATTTGAACCATTTGAAGGCGCAGGGCACAAGTTAATTCCCTACTTCAAGGTTAGTTTTTGCAGGCGTATCTGTTAATATTTTGTGGTCAAACATGTCCTTACATATATTACATTTTTGACCTGGTACTTGAGGTTCATAAGGTTAGTGAGTTTGGTTGCCAGTTTTTTTGATGACAAAACAATAACTTGCCATCTGTTCAATGATTCTAATGAGATTCGAATCTTATCAAACAAAAGTGAATGATCTATCGATCATTCACTTTTCAAGAAGCTCAAGTTGATGAGTATCAAGTCACCACTGTTAGTCTGACCCACTTACCTAATCACTAGGGCCTGCAACCACTCTTACGTTACAGGTTGCCAACAAGACAGCGAAGTAACTGCCCTCGGTCGTTCCTTCCATATCTTACCAAGTGCTACTCATGGTCTTTGTCTGCTCCTGATCATCAGTGCTGTGTTTTTCAATCTGCCTTACTTCCTTTAGGATTGAAAGTGAGGACTTGCCTTGCTAATTAGTTAGTCTTCAGTAATAAGGATAGGTTATCGACCTGTATTAATCCTTGCAATTTGTAATACTGTGGAGGTCCAATCTCGTCTTGAATATATCAACAGAAGGTGCTGTTATTACATGTTTCGGCAGAGAATTCCAATAATTCACTACTCGATGAGAGAAACGAAACTCCAGACGTAAACGATTTGGTCTCGGTTTTTGAACTATTTTCGAGTGTCCTCTCAAACGATCAGTTTTAGACGGAAGTAAAAGATGAGACATGTTAATACAAAGGTCATCGTTCAGTATACGATAAGCCAATATTGGATCACCCCGTATTCTACGGTAAGATAACGGAAATAAGTTGAGGTGTCTCAATCTGTCTTCATAAGATAGTCCATGTAGACCTTGTACCATCTTAGTACTTCGTCGTTGGACTCGCTCTAGCATATCTGCTTCATACTTGAAACAAGGACTCGCTGCTTGGATTCCATATTCTAAACGTGGTCGCACATAAATCGTGTATAGTAATCTAAACATTTCATCATCTAAATACTGTGATAAGGTTTTGTGTTTTCCGTAAAGTGTGACCCACCGAACCCTAAACAGATTGGCGTAAGTCAGGTCTAGATAACACTTTTTAAGGTTAAAGTAAGTCTCATATTTTCTCAAGCTACAGTGTCCTATTTAAGCCTACTAGAATCCAGAACTGGGGACTGTTCTTTGTTGATTGACATAAATGACCTTAATTAGGTATCCTTTGGGATATTATTATTTGCTGATTATCTGAAGCTTTGGAGAGTTTTCAGCCAGACTGAGAAGCTACTACAGCGAAGCTATGATTTATGGACGACTTTTGAGTGATTCTAGACTGACCTTGAAAGTGTCCACCTAGTATCTATGATCAAATAAGGGTTGTGAACCTGTGAGGAATTAGAATTATGATTTACGGTTGATGATTAAGTTTAAAAATTAGATTTAGAGTTTTCATCACGAACCAACATCAGCTATAATGCCAAATCTTTATCTGAATGGATGAGTGAATTTCGCGTCAAAATCCGAGACCTGTTATGTTATACATGATTGGTTCGTCCATAAATTATAGCCTCATCGGTGTAGCGTAGGCTATCTACAACATGTCGCAAATTATACATACAACTTAGGCAATTTCCTCCTAGAGCTGTCATTATTTGAGTAGGATATAGGTGTCTTAGAGGCATTCATCGAGATTTCAAGCATGAGGTTTAAAATAATGTCGAAAAAGATTGGAATGTAAACATGAGATATACGGCACAAATAAGTGGATTCGTATATTGGAAATTTAGAAATAGTACTATGTCGAAGATTTGGCGGGACGTAAGGACCAAATGCCGTTTAGCCACCGTGACTGATTGTATTCCATATTGCACAACGTCTGTGACCATTTATTACAAGTGTTGAATCGATCCGTATCAGTCTATACTTTTCGGAATGGTCATTGAGATTAATCAGAAATTTTATGGACAAATTTCACATCTTAATTTGTCCAATGTCAGTTGTTTTTACCAACATAAATCACCCAGAGTTGCATATCGGTATAAGGAATGCGTAGCGTTCATCATAACCGCTTTTGTTGAAGTTTTTAACCTCATAAATGTACTTTCACGTTTCGCCTAGTACTGTGCATATAAACTAAAGACTAAGCACTCACATATTGTAGTGTGAGCAATACTTAAGAGATACTTATGATCAAATACTCTCAGCCTACGTATATCTTTTACTTTTATAGCCCAGTAAGACAACCGTTGAGACTGTTGTACTGTATGCTTCCCTCTTTGCTGGTATATGAACGTGTTACCTACGGGAAGTGGTTACTTACCAGATGCCTTTTTCGGCCTTATAAGTTAAATTATTAGTGATATTTTTAGTCTCAGGAGTTTTGAATGGTGTAACAGTCATGCCTGCCAGCATTAAAATAGTCTGAGGATGCTTCCCAAATCTGGTGTATTGTTTTATTTGTGAAATGAATCTCAATAAGTGGTGGATATACGAGTAGATTAGAAAGGTATAAAAAACTCAGTCAAATATTAGTCATATGAAAGAAATCAAAATAGTAATGTTGCACCAAGAAATTTACAAATAAGTTCGATAGGACCAAAAATACTCAAATGCTACATAACCACATATATTTTACTTCCTCAGGTTTACATTTTTGAACTGACTCTACTATCACAAAGAATAACCTTTGAAGACAGTAATATTCTTCTGCGGAAAGTATTTTTCATTTACATAGTTCCCTTTATCATTTTGAAAAGAACAAGAACAAAGATTCTAGCAGAATAACATGAATTCATTTTATTTCGTAGGTTCTCATCAGCTGCTTACAGCCTGTGATATTTACAAATCATAATTAGATGATGAGTTTAAGTGACTTACATGAGAGGGTTTGGTTAGAAGATATATTGAAGACATATTCGTATAGTATAGCAAGGGTGTAAATGAAATTAATAGACTGAATATTGTAAATATATACCTAATATGAAAGAATATTCTACATCATTAATTGTGACAACAGTTCAAAAAGGTTAGAAACAATTGATTACATAGTGAGTAAATATTGATAGGATTATAGTGAGTAGAGTTCAGTTAAAAGATTATTAATTTGAAAGGTAGTTGAAAAATAAAAAACCAATGATGTAATAAATACAAAAAACAAGAAATAATTTAAGGTGCAGCGAAAGAATATTTGTCACCAAGGCAAGGAAAGATTAACAACCATCTTTTGAACACATAGGTCAGGTTTTTGACGCATGATAGCGACGGCTTCAGCAAATTTCAGAAGACTGGAGTTTGGCTGCTTACTAATCACCTGATATCCTGTATCAAGTATTTTTCACCCTCTAATAGAGCTGATATTTTTTGGTTTAGTATAAATGTATACATAACAACCTTTCCCTCATTTAATTTGTTGTGACTTCAGTCATATGTAATTTGTTTGTGAATTGATAGACATATTCTTTTGTAATCGAGTTGGAGAGAAAATCGATTGCAGTATGGTAACCGTGAGGCCGTTTACTTGCTTAGACTTGTTGAAGTTTGGGAATATGTAAGTTTTTACCTGATTCTACTTTAGTTTTGTTTTACGTGATCTTTAAATATGACTTTAGAGCACAGTAAAACCATTAATTGTTGTGCTTGACCTTTTGTATGTTCGTCAACTATTTGTTAAGTATTCTTGACTCTCGCACTTATGGACACACCTTTACGTTAGTTGTTCCGTCTGCATGGATAGACACTAGTTTATTTTCTACTAATCTTAGTTACGATGTAGCCTGGTAATCAGATTGTCAGCTTTTATTCTTCGTTTCTTAACCATGACAAGGCGGTGAGTAGGACTTCCCTGGCAGTGTCTGTGTAGTGAAGGAGAACACAGATGAGGACAACCGAATTGTATTTAGCTCAAAATTACAGAGTTAATTGGTAAAATAGAAAAACCATATAGTAAATCGTTAATTTGCAAAATATCAATCCATCATATCAAACTGGACTGTTCCCGTTGCAAATATCAATCCATCGTCTGACATTTCATTGTTCATGCGTTTTCATACAAATTGCATTGTGTTCTCGCTCTTCCTTTCTTGATCTTCCCCCATCTTCTGCTGCCAGACATTACGTTTTTAACTGGCGTCATATACTACTTATATCAATATAAGTAGCGCGCACCACAGCTGTATACATGTAGTTGTGTTGGGGCATTTTAGAAAGAAGAGCGGACTCCGCATCCTCAGCCGTACCATGGCATTCGGGAACAGTATCTAGTACTGTAAGGGACGTCTACAAATTACACTACAATAATGAGTAGTTCATCTTTAGATATTGCAGATTTTATCATTGGTTAGGAAAAACTCTGTTAAAGTGATTACATCTTGTTTCGACTCACTTCTTGTGCCTGATACACGAAAGAACCTTTGGAATATATTTTAACAACAAAGAAGTCGGTTAGAATAACGTAAGTGTCGGTTGAGGTCGTTGTTATTCAAGAGTGGCTAAACCTGATATTTCGGTCTACAAACATACCTTGATAGTATTTCTACACAAAGATACAATGTTATCTGCGGGAACATTGATTCGGTTTTACGACTTCCGCAATAATATTTGCAAGTTAGATTGGAATTACGTTAGACTCAAATTCCTGGTGACGAGAACTTCCAGTTAGTAGTAATAAATAAGTGCTACAAATCAATTAGACCTCTTAACATCTACTGTAGATTACTTCCGATTGTTTTCGTTTTCCTGTTTTTATTATTTTAGGTGAGAGAGTATTATCTCTATTAAAGCTAATTGATATCAAATAAAGCGGATAACGCTGCCTCTGACAGTAGTTTAATATACTTTGTTTCCAGCAGAAATCATCAGAGAATCTAAAAATTTTGTGTTGTTTATAATATTAGGCTGTGTCTTTGAATATAAACCTACTAATGTATTAGTAAGATTAGTTATTGATGGAAAATACAGCTGATGAAGTATTTAGCTGTTAAGATTCAGTTACTAGCTATTAAAATCTATGAGCCTTGATATTACACTCTCATATGTAGCAGAATTTTCAGAGTCAGCATAGCTACTTAACTTGAAAAGCCAGTTTATGTTCTTTAAGGTCATTCCACACTGAGGGTTTGTTGTACTGTATTGGGCTTGTGAGTGGTGTCATTTTGTTTCATTTTACTAAATATGGAAATTGAACCTAGGCAGTCGTAAGCCATGTTCTAATTGTACTGCGTTTTTCTAAGATTTACGGAAAGTGAGTTTATGCCTAAACTGTACAAGCACGAATATCGCTCCATTTTACGTTATAAATCCTTTTGTGTATACTGCTTACTTAGTTTATTAAAATTATATGTGTACTATATATTCAACCATATTCTTTGCTTTTGTTCTAGTAATCTGGATATGTATACGGAAACTGTATCCTTTAGCATATTAGTTATATGTTTTCTGAATCTTGTGGAATTTGGGGTGTATGTGAAAGTATTTATATATTTGTCCAGCAAATATCACTAGGGATACGATACTAACAGGAATCTAACGCTGGCTTGTATACTATGAATACAGAGAAACAGCATTATTCATCAGATAACATTTTCAATACACTTCACTAAGTATACGTTAACTATACACTTTACAATAATACTGATTTTTTAGTTGCTTTTTAAAAGTAATGATTCAAACTTCTAATGAACAAGAATTCGAACTACTGGAATTATGTGGTTTCCTTGATATCATTGTTTATTAATTTGCACAGGGAACGCTAATAATACTGTTTCTATGTGTAATTTGCATATTAAACAGTTCAACATGATGCAAACGGTTCTTTTCATAAATTGAAAAAGTAAGAATATCAGTGTCTGGAGAACCCAATAAATTCAGTGTAGTCTACTACTTTCTCCTTAACCATATCTTAGTTAATAAGTTATCTTGAAATTTTAACGTACTTAAAAATTGAGAAATTAGTTGCCAATCAAAGGACAGTAGGTTCTTTAAAGACACACTTGGAATATAGTTTATGTTTAAGAGTTAGTGGTGCTTATGGGCAGTTTTAGTGTTAAAAAACTACTTTCGTTACATAAAAGGGTGAAGATTTACTAAAATTACAATTAAAATAAAAAAATCCTTAGGTTAAACAATTGAAACTACCCCAAAAGCCCTGGTATGGCCGAGAGTGGGGTGGGTTCGCCCTCCCTCTCGAAATACTCTCACACGGCCACGCGTATACAGCCTCTACCAGGGAAGTCCTACTCACTGCCTTCTCGTAGCATTACTGTTGTTTACGAAAATGAGAGGACGAAAAGCGAACGTCCGGCGCTTTAACCGGATCCCAAATCAATGGTGCACATGGGCTCCAGTATCCTGAAGGAACAAATGGCGTATGAACCAATTGTTGGTTACCGGCTTCCATTGGACTGCATCTCCTCACAATGCTCCATTGCCTTGTGGACTAGACCTTTAGGTCGAAGGCTCGGGGTGTGGCCCCCTAAGAAAACCACCTGCTTCGGTCTGAGCACCCGGGCAGTATCTCAGCCCACGCACTAAAACATGATGAACTGCTTACCTATGGAAAATATTCCTTTCACTCCGATTAACAGTGAAATGGCTCGCACTATTATTATTATCATTACTATTATTATTATTATTATTATTATTATTATTATTATTATTATTATTATTATTATTATTATTATTTACTACATCATTTATTCACTCTCTCTTATTCCCACTTTATTTATCATTATTTTACGACTTATACAGCAGCTCGCCTATGGTGGAAATTCGGCTCTATCTAAACGTTCTCGAGTCACTGCCTGGTTGAAAATTGTATGCTACCACCGAATACGAATACTGAAGCAGTTTTTCTGAAACCATGTGCACCATTCAAACTGGCGGCCTTCAACGTTCGCACACTTATGCAGGTCGGACAACAGATAGGGCTGGCTATGTCTTTGGAAAGTCTTAATATTGATGTGTGTTGTCTATCCGAGACCCGTATTCAAGACTCTGGTGAAGTACTACAAATTCGCTCTCCATCTGTCGCTTCAAAAAGCTTGTTTTATGTGCGTTTATCCGTGGACACTGTGGCATCTTCGTCTGGTTTTGCTGGCGTTGGTGTCGCACTAAGAGCAAGAGCTGAGGCAGCACTAGTCGACTGGATCCCCATTAACAGTCGGTTATGTGCTGTTAGATTAGAAAGTACCATCAAAGTGAGAAGAAATCAGCGTGAGAAACGATGTCTTTTCATCATCTCCGCCTATGCCGCGACAGATTGCAGCCCGGATGAAATCAAGGATGAATTCTACCACCAGTTAACTGTTCTCCTCCAGAAAGTGAGTTCGACCGATATTGTAGTACTACCCGAAGACTTGAATGCTCAGGCACAGAAGAGAATCGTTTATGTGGCCGATGGGGACTTGTTGGTCGCATGACAGATAACGGGGACTGTCTACTGCAACTATGCACAGACCACAACCTGTTTCTGGCTAGCACTAACTTTCGGCACAGTCATCGCCGATGTGCCACCTGGCGTCCCCCTTCTGCATCTCAAGCCTGGACTCAGATTGATCGCATCGCGATCAGCTACCGCTGGCTTGGTTGTGTACTAGACTGCCGCTCCTTTCGTAGAACCTATCTGGAATCTGATCATGCTCTGGTCTGCGACAATCTTACCTTACTTTTCAATGGCCAACGAAGTGACCGTCACCAAAGGATGGATGTCACCAAGTTGGTTGCAACTTCTGTTGCTAGTAAGTATCGAACCGAGCTAGCTCCTAGGTTAGCTACCATTCGACCGAAAAGTATAGATGAGCATTGGTTGCAATTGCATGACGCCATGTAAAGGGCGAGTAAAATCACTTGTGGGTTCGCGAAACGTCCCGCTTACAAGCACTGGGTTTCTCCAGACTCCTTACAACTCATTGAAGCCCGTCGGTCTACTCCGAGTGACCGTGAGTTTGACCACAGACGAAGGTTGATACGTACTGAAATCGAGCAAAGCTTGCGTAAGGACCGAGAAGCCTGGTGGTCGGAGCGTGCTAATGAGCTGGAAGCAGTAGCTGCATCTGGTAATTACCGGAAGCTCTTCCAACTCATTCGAGCCACTGGCAGCAAGAAGTCTGGTGTGAGCGAAACAATCTGCGAGAATGACGGAACGTCAATCTCTGACATCCATCGACGTCTTGGACGATGGGCAGAATTTTTCGAAGGGCAGTTCAACTGGCCTGTTTGCTCCGGCAACATCGGTCAGACTGTCCTGCCCTCCATGGCCGGTGACGACTGATCCACCAAATGAGGCGGAAGTCCGCAAGGAACTCCAACTCTTGAAACGTTACAAATCACCGGGCCCAGACGACTTACCTCCGGCTCTTTTTTTAAAGATGGTGGTGACTTTCTGACTAAGGGACTGACGACGTTGTTTACAAAGATCTGGGAACTAGAGTGTGTACCAACGTCATGGAATGAGTCGATAGTTGTCCCTATCTTTAAAAAGGGTTCACGTCGTTCCTGTAACAACTATCGGGGGATAAGTCTACTTCCGATTGCGTCCAAGCAATTGGCTTCCGTCATACTTCGTAGGTTGTTCAGAACCCGAGAAGGATTGACTCGCGAGGAGCAGGCTGGGTTTCGTTCTGGTCGAGGATGTATTGATCATATCTTCACCCTCCGCCAAGTGTTAGAACACCGCCATACTTATCAAAGGCCAACAATCGTAGTGTTTCTTGATATCAGGGCTGCCTTCGATTCGTTGGATAGGACTTTTTATTGCTGGGATTGTCTATTGAAGAAGGGTGTGCCTGAGAAGTTTATTAACATCCTAAAAGCCCTATACACAAACACCTCAGGCAGAGTGAGGGCATACAACCACCTCTCTCCATTGTTCCATTCGAGCAGTGGGGTTAGGCAGGGTTGCCCAATCTCACCATTCCTCTTCAACTTTGCCATCGATGACATTCTGGAAACAGCTCTGACGGATGTAAGTAATGGTGGTGTGGATCTGTTGCCTGGAGAAAGACTTCTCGACCTTGAGTATGCGGATGATATTGTCTTATTGTGCGAGAATACCCAAGCCATGCAATCCGCACTTAATCAGTTGGCAATCAGTGTCCGTAGGTATGGTATGTGCTTTGCACCTTCGAAGTGCAAAGTACTTTGACAAGACTGGTAGGATTTTAATCCTGTATTCACTCTGGATGATCAGCAGATAGAAGTAGTCGAGAAGTTTGTGTATCTTGGTAGCTGCATAAGTGCTGGTAGTGGCGTAAGTGATGAGATCAATGCACTTATAGTGAAAGTTAGAGCGGCTTATGCCAATCTCGTCCATCTTTGGCGCCTTCGTGATGTTAATCGTCTGGCTGTAAATGGTCGGATCTACAACGCATCTGTAAGAGCAGTTTTGCTCTTTGCTTGTGAAACCTGGCCCCTCCAGGCTGAGGATGTTAGACAACTCTCTGTGTTCGATCATCGCTGTCTCCGAAGGATCGCTGGCATCCAGTGACAACACCATGTCAGTAATGCAGAGGTTCAGCATCATGTGTTCGGGCACAGAGACGACAATCCAATTGGTGTCACCATCTTGAAACACCGACTTCGGTGGCTTGGACATGTTCTACGAATGTCGTCCCAGAGAATTCCACGTTGTGCATTATTTGCCGACTCTGGGACTGGTTAGAAAAAGCGGAGAGGTGGTCAGTATATGACATGGTGTCGTGGTATGAAAGAAAGCTGCAATGGGCTAGCTTGTGTTGGTCCTTCACGACTCCCTGGCTGGGGTCCTAGAGATGGTGCAACACAGTGGCTAGAGACGTTATCAGATATGGTTCAGAATAGAAGCCAGTGGCAATCCTGTTGTAACCTTATTTTACTTTCTTCGTTAAGAGTGGTTGCTTCTTCCTTAACTGTGACATTCCCTCTGATTGTACCTTTTCGTTTCCCTCATTATTATAACTATTACACTACCTTATACTAATCTGGTCGTTATTGTTTTTTCCCCTTCTCTTTAAATTCTCATTGTTTTGTGTGGCGCATATATATTTGGTGGCCTCTTGTACCAATATTTATGTGTTCAAATAAATCTTCACTTAGTTTGATTGTTATCAAAGCACTTAGACCGTAATCACTAACTATTTCTGAATAAGCATCGTAGTTGCTGTATTTTATACAATTATCATTAGAGTAAAATTATATTGTTTATTAATGATTTTGAATATGTACATCATGTCTCTCGTGTGCTTCGTGTCCAGTAGTTGGCAAGCGAACGAGCTAATAAAACTGGTTTTTTTTCGTCTAAGTTTTATATTATTTAGAATATGCTCGATAGACCATTTTGAGATTGTATTTTCTTTAACTTAGTGGTACTGTTACACTTTTAATGGCAATAACAGTATAGTATCGGATTTTATCTGCATTATCTGGCGAAATGGCCAGAGTATATGCGAGTCCTAGAGTCACCTACACTAACCTGTTTTGAAAGGAATTCGGCATGTCTTTCGGATATTCCACACACAGGTGATGCACAAAACCCATCTCCTAAGGTAGTATCAATACCATCTACGTGTCAACGACTAATGGGCTATATGATGGCGAAGTCGGAAGGTCATGCACTGGACTGGCATGGTCATGTCACAGCGCTGTCAGTGGCTCCTGAGTATCGTCGTTTGAGATTAGCTACTCAATTAATGCTAGAGTTAGAAGAAACTTCCGAACGGTAAGGACGTTTAGTAAATAAACCGGATCTTAATATTGGTATGGTTTTAATATTTTTGGAAAATCCGTAGTTAATACCTTGGTTTTTTAAATAAATTACGTATATTTAAAGTTTACGGCTTTAAAGGATTTACTTAGTTATAAAATAGACGTCACTATTAACCTGGTGTTTTATTAAGAAAACAGACCATTTTGTTTAAGTTCCTTCTAGTGTTCATTCCATCTAGCATAACAGTACACTAATCAGTATACATTTATAAACTTTTATGTTGTATAGGTGCGTGGTGATAAAAGAAAACAGACGGTAGACTGAAGTATCGCATCTGCTTTTATACACCAGATAACTATGTACTCAACGTGGAAAAACGTATTCATTCTGACGGTCAAAGTGCAGAGTTGATTGATGGAATTCAGTCAACACTAAAGAATACATTACATGATGCTTGCTCTGCAGTGATTGAACATTATGGTAAAAGGGCCCCCAAATGCCCTGGTACGGCCGAGGGTAGGGAGAACCCGCTTCCCCTCTCGAAATGCCCTTACATGACCACGCGTATATAGCCTCTGCCAGGGAAGTCCTACTCACTGCCTTCTCGTGACGGGGTGTTGTTCACGAAATTGAGAGGACTAAAAGCTTATATCCGGTGCTTTAACCGGGTTGGTGGACACAGAGTTTACCCAGGAGAGTTGAAAAACCCTGATTCCAAACCAATGGTGCACATGGGCTCAAGTATCCTGAAGGAACAAAGGGCGTACGAGCCAATCGTCGGTCACCGGCTCCGGATGCGGCCCCCTAAGAAAACCACCTGCTTCGGTTTGGGCACCCGGGCAATATCACAGACCTCACACAAATCAAGTGAGATTTGTGTGGCGCATATGTATCTGGTGCCCCCTTGTACCAGTATTTGTGTCCAAATAAAATATTAATAATATGATAAAAGGACTTTACGATCTAAGTGTACAGAGGACTAATAGATAAAATCAGTAGGATGGTTTTTCTAGCTACATTACGGAACACGATTCAAGTCTTTTCATTAAGATCGTGTCACAACAATATGTCGAGAACTGCAACTATCCACTTCATAAAGAATGAGTGTAGCTCCTAGAGTGTGGGGAACTAAATTTAGTAGAATAATACTCAAAAGTCATTATAACATCTAACAATCGCACTAGTGCAGATTCATAATAAATAAGCCATAGGGCTCATTCCGATAGGTTTTACGTCGCTGTTAAACTAAATCTCCCAACTCTTCTTTTTTTAGGAAACGATGTTACTATGTTGACCTATTCGTACGTGCATCTAACAAACTGGGCATAGATATTTATAGTAAATTGGGGTATATTATATACCGCAGAGTCTTAAATTACTATTGGGGTTCTGTTGAAGATGAAGATGCTTTCGGTAAGTGTCAAACTATTTAGGATTCTCCATGAAGTTGTACATATAAAGCGTCCGATGACTAGATAGTTAGCTCAAGTTATTCACATGTCGTTTCTTATCAATGCGATAGGAATTCAACTAGTATTCCAAAATATCCAGTCATAGTCCTGGATGAAGTTTCTCAATTTTACCGCACAAATTGTTATTTACCTTAGAGGAGGTTATACATATAACCATGTTTTCGCTATAAACAAGTAACTTCACAAGTCCATTTCTAAATAAGAATCCACACTTATGCTTTACTTTTGATAACCACAAGTCAAAACATTATGGTGCTAGTTAAACACCTTGGATCTGCACAGATCAAATTAATCAGTTGTAAAAATGTGTCGGCTCAAGTTCCTACATCTTGCATCGACACAGCAAGAAAATAAGATGGGAAATAAAGCCGGGGAATTAACAATATCCATTATAGTAGAAAGGTTTGTTTAAGAAATGAGTGAGGCGGGAGAAAAGTGTGGAATAGAAATATGATGGGTTGTGTTACCATCTTAAAGATATACAGTGGTATCTTCTCATCATTTTAGCAAGAATAAGTGGTTATATGGGGCCAGCTTTTAGATGGCATAGCTCAGTGACTCAGGTACATCTACTCTTTATCTTACATAAGGTACCAAGTTCATTATCCCACAATACTATTAATGGGCCCAGCTCGCTTCATGTTCAAATAAGTAAATACTACTAATACCTATGCTACTTTGAGATCTAATTATGCTAATGTGTTGCGGCAACTTGAACCGATGCAGATGTGTCGTGTCCTATGTTGCATGTAACTGACTGACAAGTGTCATTCTTTAGTTGTAAAGATATTTGAAGACATACTAGACGCTTACAGATATGCACTTAAGAAACTCTGGAAAACTCGATGCTGTTTTGGTTAATGAAATAATCGGCAACTTTCTCACAGAGTTAAATTTAGGACTTCAGGACTCTCCAGCCAAGCATACACCAATTAGAATCTAAAATCTTGCGCTTTTAATCGGTTTTAAATATAGTGTGCCTGTCCAATAAGATTAGCAGGTAATCTGTCCGACTCCTGAATGTTAAGTCTTTGAGTTACCCTTTCCACAAAATGTCCACTTCAAAGCAAATTATTAACCGACTCTATATAATTGTCTGATGTTTGTGAATATTCATTTAAGTTTGAGGAAGTTTTTGTTACTTATTTATATCATTTATATTTGTTCACTCACTTACTTCTGTATTGTACTAAGTGGAACTAACATTTTCATTATTTTTACTTACTTTGGGAAACAATGAAAAACTAATATTAAATATAAAGTTTATTATATACAATTTAAAAACAATGTTTTAAGTTATCTGCTCAACTTTCTTAGATATGAGAAAAGCACTTTCAGCGGATGTGCTCAAACGATCTGTTATACCAATGACAAGGCCGATACGTCCAGAAGAATTAGAACATCCATGAGCATACAGATGAAGTCTTGTTTATTGGTTCTATATGTAATATTATTCAGTGGATGTATCTTTTGTAACAATAATATCTTTTCTCTTCAACTGGAGTTTTGAGGGTCTGCAAAATATACATAACTTGTGCAAAATGACAAAAAAGCGCTAGTAGATAACAGGACATTACGCACAATATAAGAAAAACGAGAAGTGTTAATAAGTAGTTGTTTATTAGAAAAAAATACTGGTCGCAAAAATAGTTCATAAATGAAACAAGATGCCATATTCTTCATGTGGGCCTTTCGGATTTTGTTCTACTGAAATTAAGAGAAGGTCATTATATTCGTACGGATATTTTCAGAGAAAATTTAAGACAATAATCAATATCGATCACAGTTCACTAATATTTGTCAAAATCACCTAACGTAGTATTACAATATAAGACAAATATATCTTAACAGAAATTCAGGATGACAGTCTACACGGAGTATTACTGTCACGTCTAAGGGACAACGAGTCTGTTCGCTTTGAGACCGGTCTTCCCTGTATGGGATTTTAATTCTCAAATGATGCCTCAGTGATCATATAACGTCTCACCTACATGAAATTTGGTCAATAGTGTCTACTATGGCAAATACCAAACTCTCCATTCAAATCTCTTAAAAGTTCTCGAATCCGTCTATAGCCTGTGACATGATTCATCAGATAAGTAATTTGCCCATCCAAAGTCAAGTAGATGAATACAAATGCCTAAAAACAGTAGGCATTTGTTACTAGCTACACACATTTATATCAAAACTGTTTGCTTACTGAATATAATTCTGCACAATAGTATATTCAAAATGCATAAGATTGTTGATATGTGTAAAGTCTTGCAACATTAATAATTGACCAATCCAACTATAAAAAAAAAATGGAACAAAAAGTTATCAGAATAGCGTAGGAAACCTTCCCGTAATGTGATATTTTTAACCTATAAGAACAACCCACTTAATTCCCGATCCACTACAGAAACATACACTTTGCTCAATTTGAGGTTGTCCCGTATGGAATATTGATTACCAACACTTATACATCGTGCAAAAAGCGGGGCCGTGGATGGTTTAGGATGTGGTACCGTAAAGTGAAAAAGTTCCTTCATCACAGCATACTGGTATGTCCCCTAAAGATCACAGTGCTCGTATGTAAGAATGCTACTTTGTTTAAATCCAGAAGAAATTCTTAAAAAGTAAACGTCCTTGGTTGTAGAAAACCCTGTCTAGTTAATGTTTTGAGTTGGTCTGTGGTTCAGAACTCGGATCGGATTTGAGTAGGAACGAGAATACGCCGCCTAAATGACCAATTTTGCAGTTAGGTTATATGCTCCCTATACACACTTCAGTCTCAGTTTGGTCAACAACGCTGAGCAAAGTATTTGACTAATTTTTTTTATTTTAACACAGATATTGGTACAAGGAGGTACCAAATACATATGCGCCACACAGATCTCAGTTGATTTGTATGAGGGCTGTGATACTGCCCGGGTGCCCAAACCGAAGCAGGTGGTTTTCTTAGGGGGCCACACCCCGAGCCTTCGACCTGAACGTCTGACCCACAAGGCAGTGGAGCATCGTGAGGAGATGCAGTCCCATGGTAGCCGGTGACCAACAATTGGTTCATACGCCATTTGTTCCTTCAGGATACTGGAGCCCATGTGCACGATTGATTTGGGATCCGGTTAAAGCGCCGGACATTCGCTTTTCGTCCTCTCATTTTCGTAAACAACACCCCCGCCACGAGAAGGCAGTGAGTAGGACTTCCCTGGTAGAGGCTATATACGCGTGGCCATGTGAGAGCATTTGGAGAGGGAGAGCGGACTCTCTCCACTCTCGGCCGTACCAGGGTCAAGAAATCTTTTTGGTTTGCTTTGTATCAGGTTTAAAATATATCATTACACAGCATTTCTTATTACATAATTAATTTATACTTCGTCAACATGCGATGATTTTATTTCTATTGAGGATCTAGCAAGTGCCCAACTGTACCAAATTTATTGACGTGTTTTAAGAACACCGTAGTAACAGTCAAAGTAAATAAGACAGGAAAATAATCGGAGAAATTAAGTTGTCATTATTTTGCCAGATCTTAATAAACAAAATATAAACTTGGTCGTCGATATGAGCGAAGTTACCTTCTGAAGGATATGGTAAGTAGTTTGCCGTTAAATTTGGATTCAAGGAGTGAGTTACCGGTATTCGATCATATGTGTCTTCGAGGCATTACTTCGCTCCTTTCGGACCTTCCTGACCGTTGTTGCTACCTTGACGTGGTGGTCGGTCTTGCCTATCGTGATGAAGCAACTGAGCTATACTGGCCGTAACAACCATTCCTCAAGGTCCTACCATGCCAGACAGGTCGGTTGAAGTGCGGTAAGACTAAAAGCAACAAAACCAAGGTCCGAAGGCGAAGTCGTACTGCTGACTGTACAGAGGTGTGACAGCAGTAAGGTGTTTCCTTCAGACAACCAGCATGACAGCGATGCTGCCCTCCCAAAAGGAGGAGAGGGGTTAGAAAAGGTCGACCCTAAAAATGCACACCTCACCTTATCCCACGGATATCCGTCTCCGGCGGTAAGGTCTCAACAAGTACGGAGCTAACACGAAAATTACTCATAAAAAGGTCGTGTGTGACCGACCTCAAGCAGCTGTCTCTTGGGCACTGCGGTCACGCTCTCAGGTCACTAAGACCACCTCTAACCCAATTTCCTTTTCAGGTACCTCCAGCAGAACCCTTCCACGGTGTGGGCAACCAGGAAGCGATGACCACCCTCATACCTCTAACAGCACTCAAGACCACTGTATTCATAATCAACCTCCCTCTTTAATTCCTATTATTCCTCCTACATCGACTTTCAAATCTAAACTTCCTCTTTTGACGTCCTCCTCAAGTGTCACCACAGCCAACGATTCTAGTGCGCAAAACACTGTCCCAGGTCTACTGAAACCTCGCTCCAAACTACACATTGGAGCCTTCAACGTACGCACACTAAGCCAAATCGGTCAGCAGGCTTCCTTGGCTAAAACCTTAGAATCTCGTACAGTTGATGTATGCTGTGTCTCCGAAACATACATACACGATCCTAGCGTGGTCATTCACTTGACCTTACGTCAACAAAACGGAGAGCCGACGAGATACGCCCTCCGTGTATCCGGCAACTCGATGGATAGTTCTCGTGGACTGGCAGGTGTAGGCATAGCACTAAGTATGAGGGCGGAACAAGCACTATTAGAGTGGATCCCCGTAAACAGTTGTTTATGCATTGTCCAGCTAAACGGCTCCGTAAGAACTCGGAAGGATAGGGACACACGTCGTTGCCTTTTTGTCGTTTCTGCCTACGCTCCCACTGACTGCAGTTCGGATGAAGTGAAAGATGAATTTTACAGAAAGCTGTCTAAACTTCTTCAGAAAGCTAAACATTCAGACATAGTACTCGTAGCAGGCGACTTTAATGCCCAGGTAGGTAGCTTAAACGAAACAGAAAGACATTTAGGTGGGTATTTTAGTATTCCGGCACAGCGAACAGATAATGGTGATCGTCTACTGCAACTGTGCTCAGACAATCATTTATTTTTAGCAAACACAAATTTTAAGCATAAGGAGAGACATCGTCTAACACGGCGACCCCATGCACCAAACCAACGATGGACTCAAATAGACCATATTGCCATCAGTCATCGTTGGAGAGGGTCAATAGAAGATTGTCGCTCATTCTGGAGTACCTGCCTTGACTCCGACCATGCCCTAATACGAGCACGCATCTGCTTACGCCTCAGTGGACGCAAAAAGCCACACAAAAAAGACCCATTAGAACTGAACTGAGTAACAAGAAAACCAAACGTAGGTTCCAGGAACAACTGAGGTCACACTTAGGTAGTTCTGAAAACGAGGCTGACCCAGATGTTGCTTGGAAAGATATACAATCAGCTGTGGAAACAGCAGTGACATTTACTAATGATTTAAACGACAGGGTTACAAAGAACCAATGGATTTCTTCAAGGTCTATTGCACTGATAGATTCTCGTAAACTCATCCCATCAGGTTCTGAACACGATGAAGAGCGAAAACAAATCAAACCTAGGTTAAGCAAAAGTCTAAGGAACGACCGTGAGCAGTAGTGGGCAACGGAAGTAAAAGAGATGGAAAAGGAAGCGGTTTTAGGTAATACAAGACAGCTCTTCAGACTAATAAAAGAAACTGAAATTAATAAATCAAGTGTAAGTCAGACTATTTCGGAAAAAGACGACACTCTCATCTGCTCCCAGCCCAGACACTTAGAACGATGGGTGTAACACTTTAAGGAGCAGTTTAGCTGGCCTTCAGCTACTCTACAACTACCCTCTATTCCCAGACAGCGTGAATGGAAGATTGAAGTAGGTCCCCCAACTCTAGCTGAAGTTCAAAAGGCTATAGCTAATCTGAAACGAGGAAGGACAGCTGGTCGGGATGGATTAGCCCCAGAGGTCTTTAAGGATGGTGGTTTAGTTTTAGCGATTAGGTTGACTAATATTTTAGCTAACTGATCACAATCACTTATCGTCCCAATATTTAAGAAAGGGTCAAAATCATCCTGTGACAACCATATAGAGATTAGCTTAACCAACATAGCATTTAAAATACTAGCCTTGATAATTATCGGACGCCTAACTACAACTTGTGAACTGCAAACACGAGAGAATCAAGCTGGCTTCAGACCTGGTCGTGTCTGCATCGACCACATATTCACCATTCGTCAGGTTCTGGAACACAGGCATACTTATCGGCGTCCGACAATGGTGGTCTTTCTTGACTTAAAAGCAACATTTCACTCTATAGACCAAGAGGTTCTGTGGCAGTGTCTGTCATCGAATAGTGTACCTCAGAACTACATAAACCTTGTGAAGGCTCTTTACTCGAATACTACTAGTTGAGTCAGAGCTTATGGCGAACTGTCATCTGTTTTTACAACCTCAAGTGGTGTCCGTCAAGGCTGTCCACTATCTCCATTTTTGTTCAACTTCATCATAGGTGTACTGACGGAAATATCGCTCTCGTCGACTGAATTCTTGGGCATTGATTTCCTTCCAGGGGGTCCACTTGTCGACTTAGAATACGCAGATGATATAGTCCTGTTTTTGGTGAAGACGCTGATGAAATTTAGAGTGTCTTGGTAGCACTGAGCAACAGTGCCAGGATATTCAAGAAGCATTTCTCTCCTAAATGCAAGTGGTTGCTTCAGGACTGGTCTGCGTCAACACCTGAACTAAGGATAGGGAGTGAAGTAGTCGAACACGTCGACAACTTCACTTATCTTGGAAGTCTGATCAGCCCTAATGGGTTGGTGTGTGACGAAATTTCTGTACAGATTCGAAAAGCTCGTTTGGCTCTCGTCAACTTATGTCACCTATGGCGAAGGCCAGATATCCGTCTATCAATTAGGGGACGAGTTTACTGCGCGGCAGTTCGTTCTGTTCTATTTTACGACTGCGAAACATGGCCTCTAAGAGTAAAAGATACTCGTAAGCTACTAGTACTCGATCACAGATGTCTCAGAAATATTGCTGGTATTTTCTGGGATCACTGGGTAATTAATAGTGACGTTAGACGCAGGGTATTGGGGAATGATGCTAAACCAGTTGATGAGGTTATGAATCTTCATCGACTGAGATGGTTAGGCCACGTGCTGCGTATGCCTAAACACCGATTAACACGACGCGCGATGCTAACCGGTGTTAGGGATGATTTATTTATTTTATTTTAACACAGATATTGGTACAAGGAGGTACCAAATACATATGCGCCACACAGATCTCAGTTGATGTGTATGAGGGCTGTGATACTGCCCGGGTGCCCAAACCGAAGCAGGTGGTTTTCTTAGGGGGCCACACCACGAGCCTTCGACCTGAACGTCTGACCCACCGTCGCGTTTTAGATCCGACCTTTTACAGCCAGACGATTAACATCACGAAGGCGCCAAATATGGCCCAGATCGGCATAAGCCACTCTGGCTTTCACAATACGTGCGTTGATCTCATCACTCACACCACCACCAGCACTTATGCAGCTACCTAGATACACGAACTTCTCGACTACTTCTATCTGCTCACCATCCAGGGTGAGTACAGGATTAGAATCCTGCCAGTCTTGTCAAAGTACTTTGCACTTCGAAGGTGCAAAGCACATACCATACCTACGGACACTGATTGCCAACTGATTAAGTGCGGATTGCATGGCTTGGGTATTCTCGCACAATAAGACAATATCATCCGCATACTCAAGGTCGAGAAGTCTTTCTCCAGGCAACAGATCCACACCACCATTACTTACATCCGTCAGAGCTGTTTCCAGAATGTCATCGATGGCAAAGTTGAAGAGGAATGGTGAGATTGGGCAACCCTGCCTAACCCCACTGCTCGAATGGAACAATGGAGAGAGGTGGTTGTATGCCCTCACTCTGCCTGAGGTGTTTGTGTATAGGGCTTTTAGGATGTTAGTAAACTTCTCAGGCACACTCTTCTTCAATAGACAATCCCAGAGTACAGACCTATCCAACAAATCGAAGGCAGCCCTGATGTCAAGAAACACTACGATTGTTGGCCTTTGATAAGTATGGCGGTGTTCTAACACTTGGCGGAGGGTGAAGATATGATCAATACATCCTCGACCAGAACGAAACCCAGCCTGCTCCTCGCGAGTCAATCCTTCTCGGGTTCTGAACAACCTACGAAGTATGACGGAAGCCAATTGCTTGGACGCAATCGGAAGTAGACTTATCCCCCGATAGTTGTTACAGGAACGACGTGAACCCTTTTTAAAGATAGGGACAACTATCGACTCATTCCATGACGTTGGTACACACTCTAGTTCCCAGATCTTTGTAAACAACGTCGTCAGTCCCTTAGTCAGAAAGTCACCACCATCTTTAAAAAAAGAGCCGGAGGTAAGTCGTCTGGGCCCGGTGATTTGTAACGTTTCAAGAGTTGGAGTTCCTTGCGGACTTCCGCCTCATTTGGTGGATCAGTCGTCACCGGCCATGGAGGGCAGGACAATCTGACCGATGTTGCCGGAGCAGCAGGCCAAAAGGAGCGGCAGTCTTGTACACAACCGCGCCAGCGGTAGCTGATCGCGATGTGATCAATCTGAGTCCAGGCTTGAGATGCAGAAGGAGGACACCAGGTGGCACATCGGCGATGACTGTGCCGAAAGTTAGTGCTAGCCAGAAACAGGTTGTGGTCTGTGCATAGTTGCAGTAGACGTTCCCCGTTATCTGTCCTGCGACCAACGAGTCCCCATCGGCCACATAAACGACTCTCTTCTGTGCCTAGACGCCCGACCTGAGCATTCAAGTCTTCGGCTAGCACTACAATATCGGTCGAACTCACTTTCTGGAGGAGAACAGTTAACTGGTGGTAGAATTCATCCTTGATTTCATCCGGGCTGCAATCTGTCGCGGCATAGGCGGAGATGATGAAAAGACATCGTTTCTCACGCTGATTTCTTCTCACTTTGATGGTACTTTCTAATCTAACAGCACATAACCGACTGTTAATGGGGATCCAGTCGACTAGTGCTGCCTCAGCTCTTGCTCTTAGTGCGACACCAACGCCAGCAAAACCAGACGAAGATGCCACAGTGTCCACGGATAAACGCACATAAAACAAGCTTTTTGAAGCGACAGATGGAGAGCGAATTTGTAGTACTTCACCAGAGTCTTGAATACGGGTCTCGGATAGACAACACACATCAATATTAAGACTTTCCAAAGACATAGCCAGCCCTATCTGTTGTCCGACCTGCATAAGTGTGCGAACGTTGAAGGCCGCCAGTTTGAATGGTGCACATGGTTTCAGAAAAACTGCTTCAGTATTCGTATTCGGTGGTAGCATACAATTTTCAACCAGGCAGTGACTCGAGAACGTTTAGATAGAGCCGAATTTCCACCATAGGCGAGCTGCTGTCTGAGTCGAAACGGATACAAAAAGTAGAAATAGGAGATAGTGAATAAATGACGTAGTAAATAATAACAATAATAATAATAATACCAGTCATTTCACTGTTAATCGGAGTGAAAGGAATATTTTCCATAGGTAAGCAGTTCATCATGTTTTAGTGCGTGGGCTGAGATACTGCCCGGGTGCTCAGACCAAAGCAGGTGGTTTTCTTAGGGGGCCACACCCCGAGCCTTCGACCTAAAGGTCTAGTCCACAAGGCAATGGAGCATTGTGAGGAGATGCAGTCCAATGGAAGCCGGTAACCAACAATTGGTTCATACGCCATTTGTTCCTTCAGGATACTGGAGCCCATGTGCACCATTGATTTGGGATCCGGTTAAAGCGCCGGACGTTCGCTTTTCGTCCTCTCATTTTCGTAAACAACAGTAATGCTACGAGAAGGCAGTGAGTAGGACTTCCCTGGTAGAGGCTGTATACGCGTGGCCGTGTGAGAGTATTTCGAGAGGGAGGGCGAACCCACCCCACTCTCGGCCATACCAGGGCATTTGGGGGCACAATATTTGTCGAACGCACTTTCTGGAGAAAAACAGTTAGCTAGTGATAGAACTCGTCCTTGATTGCATCCGGGCTGCAATCTGTCGGGGCATAGGCGGAGATGACGAAAAGACATCAAGTATTAAAATGACTCACTACGATTTCTGAACTTAAATACAGCAATACACTTTTTTCGCTTTCTTTCTCTCTCTCTCTCTCTCTCTCTCTCTCTCTCTCTATATATATATATATATATATATATATATATATATATATATATATATATATATATATATATATACCACCCAAAGATCCCATTGAAAACGTATTAGCCAACGAAATGTGTAGTGGTCTTACAGTTATTCGAATTTTCTAAGCACAAGGATTGTATTGGGTTGCTGAACTACAGGTTAAAATACAAAACTACTGCATGACGTGCTAAGTCAAAACCTTTATTAAAGACTAAGCGTACGAAATTTTGCCTTTTGATTCCTTCGAGAATGACCGTGCACAGTTTGTCTAAAGAAATTAGGTCTGGGAAACTGTTTTCGAAAAGACTGGCAATCAAAATAAGGAACCTACCTATCAGTAAACCGTGGGAATATTGGTGTTATTGCATAGTGAACAATAAGGAACCAGATCATGCCAAAAATGCCACCTAATATTATCCCAACTAAAACTTGAGTAGAAGTATGATACAATAAATAAACCCTTGAAATAATTAGAAACTCTTGGTACCTGCTGTAGCAAACTAATGCAGTAACTGATGCACAGACTAAGTAAACAAATGTTGTGAACTGGCGACTGAAGGATCGCTGATTGAGCCTAAATAATTGAATAAGCAGAGGCTTCACTAACCTTATGAATAGGAAAAATCCAATGTAGACACAGAAAAAGCCCATGAATTGTGCGTGGTTTGAAGGCATACCTGGTGACTTAATACCTAGGTGAACTGTATGTACAAAGATCTGTAAGCAATATTTATAAACAAACTGGTTGGGAAAGGCCTTGGCTGCTTAATGATGTATTTGAGAAAATAATTACTCAATTCATTGATCAAACAACCACAGAAATAAAATATCTTGAAAGTTGATTGCTAACTCTACAACTGATAATACCGTATGCAAATCTCTTCTCGACATAATAAGAGTTATGATGCTGAAAATAATAAATATTGGCACCATACTGGAATACGCCAGTAGCTTTCCGAAAGCATCAGCTTGAAGTACGTACGAAAACAAATATCCTCTTACCTTCAGGATATTCTACGTAAAAAAGACTCAGAGGTTTCCAGGAACGCTCAGTAGCCATGTGACAGAATTTACTGACCTACGATGGTAGCTTTCCAATTGAATTGCTGTAGCTCGAAGGTCAATTTCCGGTAACTATTTGACTGCTATTATCAGTTTGAGTTTAAAGATGACAGAAGGCTTAGTGGCCCATGTTAATCTCCCATTTGATTCAACTTCCTTTTGAAAACGTCGACAGATGAAGCTTTAAAACATTTTGAAGCAAGGAATTCCTTTTTTCTTTGATGGTTCGATGGGAAAGTTGTTAGTCAGCTAACAAGTCATTTGTCCTGGGCTTGTGAACTATTTTGGAGTGTCCCCGTTAATTCTCTGCTTTGTAAGACAAGAAAAATGGTGGCATATCATGTTTAAGTTTATTACATAGTAATTTAAACACTTTAACTCCGTCTGTAATTCTTTTAGGGCTAATGCCTGTCCCAAGCCCGGGTAAAGGAGGAGGATTGACATGGAGTCGACAACCCCATACCGTAGAAAACAATCTCGCTAAAAAAGGCTGACCACAATAAACAACTTGAATCCATTAAAATCTGCCCTGGTTGTTGGAGGAAAATTTATGACACCTCAGGATGAAAGCAGAGATGCTTCGGAAGTCGTAAAGTTGATGACCATTCTAATAATCAAACGAACCATTACTATAGACACATGGAATGCCCGGAAAGTGTGAGAGATCGGAAGGACTAGTTGAACAGCTTTGAGAATGGGGAGATACAATTTGTCAGTACTCGGATTCAGCGAAACCCATTGAGCCCAATCTGGATCACAAATGTTAGATGCAGGAGATATGACGCTGTACTCCGATCACGAAGAGAAAGATACCCCATACACTGAAAAAGTTGCTCGAATGCAGTTCAAAAAAGCACAAAATGTACTTATTGGGTGGGAATCCCATGGATCCAGGATCATCAAAGCATCATTCAAAACAAAGTAGGAAGGAATCAAACTGAATGTCATCCAATTTTACGCACCCACCATTGGTGGCAGTGACGACACTAAACATCAATCTATCCTAGCCAAGTGCTCAGTAAAGGACCTGACCATTCTGATGGGGGGATTTGAACTCTAAAGTAAGGATGGGCAACAGCGGTCGTGAAGATATCATGGGACAACATGGATTAGGAGAAAAGAACGAGATTGGTGAGAGATTCAACAAATTGCTTATAGGCAGCACAATATTTCCACACAAACGCGAGCACAAAGCTACATGGATCTCACCGGACTACACCATGGAGAACCAAATAGATAATATTTGCATCAACAAATATTCAGAAGGTCAATGGAGGACTGGTGGTTTTCAGGATGGAACCGAAGCTAAAAAAGCATTAGCCGAAAACACTAAAGTAAACAAGCAAGTGAAAAGAAGCACTAGAGCTGACAAACGGAAATATCACGAAGAACCAGCAGCGACAACGGATAAAGCTGCAAGAGAAGGAAGTATCAAAAAACTACATGAAGCAAAGAAGAAACTAGCAAGAAAATATGGCGAATAAGGGAAACCGGTCAAAGACCAAGAAGGCAAGCTTATCGCTGATATTCAAAAAGGGAGTAACATGTGGTGGAATGCTTCGAGTAACTTTCAAATAAAGTGTGTGAGAACCACACAGGCATCATGCTGCTGTCAGTACCAGGAAAGGTTTTCATCAGGGTGTCACTGAGTTGGATGAAAGATTTAGTGGACACCAAACTTTGAGATCAGATCAGATTCCGTAAAAGCTGGTCATGCACAGACCGAATTGCCACAATAGAGATCATTGTTGAAACTCGTCACTATACATCAATTTACTTGACTATGGGAAAGCATCCAACAGTGTGGATAGAATAACATTGTGGAAACTTCTTAGACACTATGGAGTACCCGAGAAAGTCGTCAGTATCATCCTGAATTCATACGACGGACTACATTGCAAAGTGGTGAATGGACGACAGCTGACAGACGCATTCCAAGTGAGGTTCAGAGTCAGACAAGGCTGCCTGCTCTTCCTCTTCTTTGTTCTTCTGGTGATTGACTGGATTATGAATACCTTGACTTGTGAGGGGAAGCACAGAATACAATATACGGCTTGCATACAACTAGACGATCTTCACATCGCAGATGGCCTAGCTATTTTGTCGCATACACAAGAAAAGATGCAGATGAAAACAACCACTGTAGCAGCAGCCTCTGCATCAGTAGGCCTCAGTATACACGAACGATAAAGCAAGATCCTCAAATACAACATAGAGAACACCAACCCAATCACATTTGATGGAGAAGCTATGGAAGAGGTGAAATCTTTTACGTACCTGGGAAGCAGCATCAAAAGACAGGGAGGATTTGATACAAGTAAAGATTATTAAAGCAAGGTTGGCGTCCATAAAACCGAAAAAAGAATAAAGCTAAAACAGCTGTCAACCAATATCAAAATCACAATATTCAATACGAACGTCAAGACAGTTCTACTGTACGGAGCTGAAACTTGGAGAACTCCTACAACCATCATCCATAAGGTAAAAGCATTTGTAAATTGTTGTCTACGCAAGATACTCCACGTCCATTGGTCGGATACCATCAACAACGTCCTACTGTGGAGGAGGACAAACCAGCTTCCAGACGAAGAGGTAATAAGGAATGGACGTCGAAAGTGGATAGGACATAAATCACAGAAATCACCAAACTGCATCACGAAGCAAGCGTCAACCTGGAATCCTGAATGAAAACGGAAAAGTGGAAGATCAAGGGACACTGCATCGGGAATTACAAGCAGACATGAAAAGGATAAATGGCGACCGGAAAGCATCGTCCAGGACAGAGTTAAATGGAGAATGTTTGTGTGGAGTTTATTCTCCTCTACGAGGGGTTACAGACGTAAGTAATGTGAATAAGTTAACCACTCTGATCAAGTCGTCTCTGGTTCTTTTATATGACAATGAGAATAGGTTTAATCTAGCTTATCGAGCATCATGATGAAGCTTTGTTATCCCGGGAATTAGCCTAGTTACGGTTCTTCTAACCTTTTCCAACAACTTGCTGTCTCTTTTTAGACAGGAGCTGTCTGCCTGTATGCAGTACTCGAGTCTAGGATGAACGAATGTTGTATAAAAATTCAAAATGGTTTTAGCATCAACATGGCTCAAGTTTCACCATATTGATCATATGGTTCTATAGATTGGGGTGGTTATCACACGGCAGTGTGAGGTACCCTTTTAGGTCCAGGCTAATAATCACTGTTAAGGTATTCTGTGTCTAGGCAGCAAGCAGCTAACTGTTATTAACGGCGTATGTATATGTACCTTGGTCACCAATGTTCATCATGATGCACCTGGAGGCATCTATCGGCAACTGTCAAATCTTAGATCATTCAGACAATTTCTGCAGGTCATTTTGAAGGATAGTTCCTAAACAGTAGCTTGTTTTATGTCAGAGAAAGAAATTCCAGCTTCAACTTTTGATGAATACTGGTGCTGTATTTAGTGTTACTCCTCATAACAAAGCCAAATTACATCGAAAATACCTCCAGTTACACCTGAAGGTGACGATTAAACTAAAATCACAACATTTGTAAAGGAAACGTTGGAGATAGTTTCAGGATTGATAAGGCCATTTAAACATGTGTTCACCATAGTTGATTTAGGTCTGGTATAATTTGGGATGGACGTTCTAGAGAGATATAATTGTTAGTCTACACTATGGAACGATGTTTGCTGCTTTAAAAATCTTCGAATTACATAAAGGACAATTAAATTCACAACATGTCTCCAAAGTTGGCAAATAATCAGCCAGCAACAACTGCTACGTTTAAGGATATACACCCAGAATTTCCAAATCTAAAGTAATCCAGCTAAAAGTAAGTCAAACAGTCAGAAATGATGGCGCACCTGTGTTTACTAGACCCCGGAGATTATCACCAAATAAAATTAAAATCACCATAGACGATTTCGAACACATGGTACAGTTGTGAATTATCCGTCCTGCGATAGAACTTATGCTTAAGGGATTGGCGACAAAATTTTCCAACTCCTTTAGTAACTTAGGATGCGTTTTATCGGGTCTCATGAACCCGACCAAAGACATCGAGTTCCTTAGTGATCACAGTGTTCAGTGTGTACAAGGGGGGTTGCGTGAACTGAAGAGTAAAGCGTCTTTACGATTCGTACATCGCAAGAGTAATTTGAGAATACCTGGGTTTTGCTATAATCATCCTTCACTGATGATACAGTACTGATGTCTCTTTACAATGCTGAAATATTTTTTGTTCCCTTAGTCATTTGGTTTATATACGAGTGTAAGAGTTTAAGGTATTCTATAGGTTCCTTACCAAGGTACTCTTCGCACGACCTTCTAGAGTTGTGGTCCAAGGGATGCACTGTGCAACTGCTTTTGTGTGCAAGTTTCTGGATACCCTCCAAGCCGTTTAATTAGGAGTTCTGTTTTATTATACAATTGAGTGAGGATGCTAAACGTATAATGTCTTGTATGTTTGATTTCCAGAGTTTGGTTTGGCTTGTGCTGACACATCCGCGCTACTGACAACTATATGGAAATCAAAGACAATAACTGCATGGTCACCTTTACCTGGGGGTGGAATGTAATGGCGGTATGTGGTGTCACCCTCATAATGAGTTAATGTGAGGTCCTGTAAGAATGATTCGGAGTCTGCGTCGTACTTAGTTGCTTCTTTTATATGTTGCATTAAGGGCACATGTGATAATTGCATCAACTAGAATCTGTTCTACATAAAATTCTGCCAATCCAGTCCTCAGATTTTTCCAGTCCATGGTATATGCATCAGAGTCTTTTACGATTGATCGATCATTCAAACAGTCCAGCAAGACCTCATTCATCTCAAAGTTAGAACTGTGAAAGACAAAGTCAATCAGCTGCCCTTATGCACTGCATTTTGATCGGCAACCAACTAACTCGCAGATCTCAATTTCGTTGGATTTGCTGTCGATAACTTCACATCGGACAGTATTCCTTATGAATAGAACTGCTATGCACATACGCTTCTGGATTATGTGGGCTCT